GGGCCCCACAGGGGTCAGAGTGCAAGGAGTCCCAGAGCAGCAGAACTGCAGAGGCCCGCGCCATGCTGGCTCCGCCTCGCTGTCTGGTCGCGGCTCGGCGGGCGCTGGGGAGGCGGGGTGGGGACACCAGGCCGCCTCCCACCCCGTCTTTGTTCAGGGAGCGCCCCTGGCGTCCGTTATACAGTCCTGAGGCGCCTGGCTGCCTAATGGACGCCTTGACCCCTGGGCCCCACAGGGGTCAGAGTGCAAGGAGTCCCAGAGGAAGCCGGGAGGGGTTAAGGACCAAGTCTCCAGCTTAAGAACCAGGAGGAGAACCCCATAACCAACACAGATTCCTCACTGCGCTGGGGAACAGCTGGTCACCTGCCTTCTTGAGTCACCTACTCCCCTGGGTCTTCCCCCCTTCTCACCTGCTTGCAGGTGGAGCAGTCCTAGCTGGTTCAACCCGGGGGCTGGACAGTTCCGTGGGGTCTCAGAGCCCTAACTTCGGCCTCCTGTCCCAGTTTGTAAAGTAGCATCCTCAGTACTTACTTTATAGACCTGTAGTGTAGTGAAGTGAAGTGGGATTGTGTAGACAGAATTTAGGGTGACACACGCTGAATCTCCAGTAAATAACAAGTAATGCCAACAGGTGCTGTGACAGGGGGGTCTCTAGGAAAAGAGGAAGTTCCAGGTTCCCTGCCCCACCCAGAAGGAGCGTGGAGCTGAGCAGAGAAAAAGAGTGAAGAGAAGGAATCTGAGGAGGAAGGAAGCAGGATGGAGAGCCAGAAGGAGCCCTGAGGAGCCACATGCAGCAAAGGGAAACATGTGAAGAAACTATGTTTATTTTTTGGCCCAGGACTGGTGAAGGCAGATGTGGGTGAGAGACCCGTGGGGAGGTGACTATGGCAGTGTTTATCTTGATTTTGATTCTGCTCTTTTCCTTGCAGACTTGTCTGGCCGTTTCCGCCCTTTTTCCATGGGTCCCGGCCAGAAGGTGCTTTAGTATAGTGGCGGCTTTCAGGCCTTGCTTTGGGCCAATCCCTTTTGGGTCGACTTTTGCCCAGGGAGGGATGGATAACTTCAGGTGTTTGATTTAGAAATTATATTCCTTATCTTCTGTATTGTAGACTTACTGTATTAAAGTTCATTTTTAGGCCCTCCATGGTGGCACAGCAGGTTAAAGCACAGCACTGAGAAGCTAAAGCTACTTCAGCATGAGTTCAATTCCCAGCCCTGGAAGTGACCACATGGCACAGCTGACCTCTCAGCTGCTCCCCTCAGCAGTGTACTTCATCCGTCAGCCTGTTCTGCTCCCCACTCTGTCTCTGGTGAATCCTCTCACCACCCCTGCACCTCTGGCCTGTACCCCAGTTCTGTATGCATAAACAAATAAATCCTTTAAAAAAAAAGTTCATTTTCATTAAAGTTTTATATGTTCTGTTTTGATGCAGTGGATGGCAGAACCCATTTACAGCAGGCAAGTTTGGGGGTTCATGGGTGCCCCTCTCCCTGCCCTGTAACAGTGCTACCCCTGGTCTTTGGAATGGGGGACAGCTAGCCTCCTCCTCCTTTCTCCACCCATACATTTCTTCCCTGGAGTCTGCTCATCACCCCTGGCACCCCAGTCTTGTCCCCAGTGCTAAAGCCTCCTTCACTGGTGAGTCCCAGCCCATTTTCCAGCTCGCAGAGCAAGGGCCCCCAGGACTGGGCAGAGGGGCAGAGAGAGGAAATGAGGAAAGCTGACCACATGGGCCTGCAAGGCTGGGAAACTCCTCAGTGCAGCTGGAAAGCAGGGGGTGGTTGGGCCTGGGCCTCAGGCTCACAAGCAAAGGGACATGGAGGGCGGAGCCTGAGTTCTGCCAAAGTCTCCCCCTGCACGGAGGCCCTAGTCGGAAGCCACCCCTCCCCCACCTCGGAGCACCTTAAGCAGGCAGTGCTCCCTTGCTCTCTCTCCCCTGCGCATCAGTTTGCGCAGAGGAGGGAGGCCTTCACCAGCGTGGGGCTTCTCCCTGGAGCAGAGCGCAGTCAGGGCTGGCCGGGAACAAGGAAGTGGCAACTCTGGTGACTCGCACCAGAGTTAAGGAAAACGGGGCGGTTTCCAGTGGCCCCGGGAGGCTGGGGGGAGGGAACACGAGCTGGCCCCTGCAGGGCTGGCAGGTCAAACCCAGGGTTTGATGCTTTCTGCCTGGGTGGCCTCAGGCAAGTCATTGAACTCTCAGTGGTTCATTTTTCTCAGTTGTGACTTGTGGCTCTAAAAGCATCCACCCCATAGAGCATTTTTTTGAGGGTGAAATAAATGAATGGCTGTAAAGAGCCATCTGCTCTTTTCTACCTGGCACTCAGGCATCAGCTCTTCTCATTTCTCACCTGATCGCTAATCATGCGGGACAGAGGTACCTTGACTCTCATTTTACAGATGAGGAATCTCAGTGCTTTACTGGCCTCTTCTCACCACCCACCCCATCAGCCTAGGGCTTAGCACCAATGCCAAGGCCAACTTCACTGGCTGTAACAGGGGATAAACCACAGAACCTGCATTCTGTGCAGGATCCTTGGACCCCCAAGGCCTGGCCAGGCCTGTTCACCTTGACTTTGGTCACACAGGCTGGCCTCACCTTTCAAATCACTCTGCCCAGCCTCTAAGAGAAGGGGCTTATACTTCCAGCAGCTTTTGGGTGCCCGTCTCTCCTGAAATCAAAGATGGAGAGGTTGACGGGCATGCTCATTACTGTAAATTCAGTGACCAGGAGTTCAAGCCTCCCAGGCATCCCTGGTCACCCTGACTTCTCACTGCTCTGGTCATCCCCCACTCTGCCCTGCTCTTCGCCAGCCCCGCCCCCTGCCTCATCCTCTGCCTCCTCTGACCAGCCTGTGTCAGACACCAGGAGAACACTTCACCTCTTGGCTGTTATTTTCACTTCAAAATCATGAACACAAACCTCAACGGACATGTGACAACTCCGGGAATCCCACTCCAGCTCCCCATCACTGCTACACCCCGCTCCCGGAGAGGCGTGTGCCAGACCCTCTCCTTCCTGAATCCGTGGCTCCCTGGTTCTGTCCTTACCCACTGCTTGATCCTTGAAACTGCCTAAGCTCAGGTCCTTCTCTGAAAGGGGGTGAAGCATCTCCATCTTAGCCTGGGTCCCCTAAAACAGAGCCTGAGACAACGGCTTATGTGCATGTTTCTTTTTGAATATGACCCCCAGGGAGCATAGAAAGATGAGCAGAGCAAAACAGGGAAGGGTGGAGAGCAATTCCAAGTTGCATTATGGAAAACCAGACTCTTCTATGGGACGAGCTGAGCCTGACAAAAGCAGCTGGGGATTGTCTACCAGGGCATAATGCCCTGGTCAAAGGGCCTTAGTGGCTCCTTGTTGGCATGAATGGGTACTCAAGTGGTTTCCCAGCAAGTCCAGTGCCACTTAGAGAAATTCCAAGCCAGAAAGGACCTGTGCCAGGGCCTGAGGCCAGATGCTGCTGGGGTGCCCCTGTGTGGGTGGCTGCAATCTGTGTACAACTGGAATAAGGCCGCCAAGAGATGGAACAATGCATGCAGAGCATTTAGGCATCCTAAATATATCATTTTTGTTATTATAAACATCATCTCCAGCTGAAGCTTTACCTAAAAAGAGAATATTAAGAGTCTTTATCTGCAACAGAGGGTACAGAAGCTTCTGGAAAACTCACTCCAAAAAACCAAAAATCTACATCCAGGAGGAAAGGATGTTATTTGTTATTTATTTATTATTTTGTAGAAGAACTGGGGTGGAGGCCAGAGGAACAGGTAACATATGTGGTAAGCTCCCTGGCCAGGGATCAAACTCAGGCCACAAGGGTGATAGAGCTGGGACTTAACCCCTAAGCCACCAGGGAGGAAAAGGTATTATTTGAGAGGCAGTTGAGTTCCAGAAGGAGTGATGCCAGTGAACCTCTTTTGTGCCAGGCATGGAGCCATATGCAGGTATATGGTGATGAAGGAATTGTGATCCTTCCCAGGACACCCTTGCAGATAAGGGAAGGGACAGGACTCCTGACTGAGAGAGGGATGTGAGCACAGGCCGCAGGTGCACTTGAGTGTACGGCTTTGAACAAATGGCTCACATTCTTTGCTGATCTAGGTGGACTTTGCCAACTTTGCCCCCACCACCCCACCTGTCCCAGGGTGTGGCTGGAATTGCCCAGGTATCAGGGACAGACACATTCAAAGCTCTCTTCTCTCACTGCTTCAATCCCTTTGCAGAATATAGGGATGGGTAGGGGAAGTCAACCAGCAGGCCAGCCATGGCTCAGCCTATATGCAGGGGAGATCTACCAGAAAAAGCCTCCAGGCTGGGGAGGTCAACCAGCAGATCAGACTTGACTCAGCCTGGAGGCTATGCAGATTGACAGGGTGACGAGACACTTCTTAGACTGGAGGGTGGGGAGGTCAACCAGCAGGCCAGACCCAGCTCAGTCTGGAAGCGGGTGAAGTTGACCTTCAGCAAGAAGCAGGTCAGACTGGAGGCTGGAGAGTTAGACCAACAGGCCAATCACAGGCTCTGCCTTGAGGCTGCGGATGTCAGCCACCAGATCAGATCCAGAGTCAGAATAGAGGTTGGGGAGATTGACCAGCAGGCCAGAAAAATCTTAACCTGGAGAATGAGGAGGTCGACCAGCTGGCTTACCAGCTGGTTCAGCCTGAAGGATGCCGTGCTGACCAGCAGGCCAGACCAATCTTGAACTGGAGGCTGGGGAGGTTGACCAGCAAGCCTGATCTGGCTCAGCCTAGAATATGGGCAGGTTGAACATCAGGCCATCTTCAGGCTCAGCCTGGAGGCTAGGCAGGTCAACTGTCGGGCAGTCCCCAGGATCAACCTTGAGGTTGGGGAGATCGACCAGCAGGCTGGATCCAGCTCAGCCTACAGGCTGCCGAGGTCGATCAGAAGGCTAACCTGGCTAAGTATAAATACTGGGAAGGTCAACCAGCAGGCCAATCCTGGTTCACCCTGCAGGTGAATGAGGCCAACCAGCAGTCCACAATTAGTTACGCCTAGAGGCTACAGACAGACCTCAAGTTAGACCAGGGTCAGCCTGGAGCTT